CACCACAAACCCCACCAGCCTGCAAATCATCCTGCAAACTCTTACTGTCGGATTACTATGTCGCAATATTAAACACATTGAACTATATAAATGAAATTGAACTGAATCTTAAAAAATTGTCTAATTTCCAGAAACCAAATCAGTAGATTAGCTGTTGTGACTTTTCCATGACCCGATTTAAAGTTTGGCATCAACTGTTTGGGAATTAAAGCCATTTTATACACAATTAGAAGTAAAAATAATTGGACGATTAACCACGAGCAGTTTTTGAAGCATGTTTTATGAATTTCAGAGGGAAACAGTTGTAGGAGATGAAAATGAAGAAGCAGGAGGTGGAGGTGCAGACTGTCGGTCAACACGGCGTTTCCTCTCCTCTGGGACGTCTGGATGACTGAATCACTCATCTCTCCTCCTGCACCCTTTCATCTGTCCTGCACTCATCACTCCGTCACCACAGCCTGTTTGGTTTCCCTCCACATTAACCTCTGCAGAGCCGCTGTTCTTACAACCGTTACAACCAGCCGGCTGTCACGCTCAGTGCAGACAGCAGGGTTGTTGTTTTTGTCGTTATGTTAAAAGGAGAGACTCCACAAGCCTCCAAACATTATTTAAAATGAAGAAGATGTCGCAGCTCATTTATGTAACATTTGAATCTGTGTTTTTGCCTCTTGCTCTTTAAACTCTCCTCCATTCTCCTCCTCGGCTGTGACCTCAGCCTCCCTGCCTCCTGCTGTGGCATCCCAGAGGCCCTCCTTCCCCTCCGGCCCCACCTCCACAGGAAAACCCGCAGACTGCCGCCAAATGTCTCCGCACATTGATTCTAACCCCTCGCTCCGATGCGGCAAGAGGCCCCTCGCAGCATCGCTCGCCACAGGCTTCGGAAATACCTGAGATCCCTGAGAGCGGGCGCCGCTCCTCTTCCCCACTTTGACCCGAGTTCACCTCCCGTGACCTCTGCGCTCAAAATTACATTTGTAACTCTGATTTTACAAACAGAGGCTTTTTTTTTCCAGCTAAAAACAAAAAGTTTATTAAATTTTTCAAATTCCCGTTTCCAGGCGTTGGACTTCATGGAAACGAGTTATTGTGTGATGCATTAGGATGATTGACAGGCTGGAAAGATAAAACGATGTTGATTGTGTAGGAGTCGTAAACTCAGCTGACGGATGTTGTCAGCATATCTACTTTATCTCTCTTCTTAGGCCTCACCTGACAGGTTTGAAAAGCCGAGCCGTCTTTGTCTCCATTATACTCACATTTTGATCACAAGGTTCAAACATCTCAATTTATTGATTCATGACGTTCACAGTAGGAAAAAACCCTCATGAAGTCTGACCGGTTGCCCATGAGGAGCACGCTGGAGGTCGTTTGCTGGCAGGGCTCCTCCTCATGTAAAGGAGCAGATACTGGACCTGCTGCAGTTCCTGCTGTTTAATGGCTGTCTCCTGGCTTCTCCTCCACGCTCGTGACACTGTGCTGGCAGACAAGGCAAACCTTCTGGTGACGGCACGCGTGGATGTGCCGTCCTGGAGAAGCTCGTCTAATGCTAACTGAAGCAAAACCAGCGAGAGGTCAGGAGATGATGGTCTGACCACTGCCTGCCAAACCATTTATTCATAGGCTCATCTTGTTGCCTCGCCAGGTGCCCTGCTGTTTTCCCTGCTGTCACTTTTTACCTGCACAGGTGCAAATAAACGGTTCCTGCTTCCTGGAAGTTTAACTGAAGCTCTGCTGTTCTGTGACGAGTTTCATCAGGTTTGGGGAGTCGGTTTGAATTTACTGGTGATGTCAGTCAGTCGGAGTCGTGTCATGTTTGTGTCGGCTATGAGGAAGACCTAGTTCAGTTTCTTTTGGTTCCGTCTTCTGTTTTTGTCTTTGTTTAAATGCAGAGTAAATGTTGACTTATTGACCTGAATGATGACGTGGACACAGAACAGTTTCCTCTCTGGGGATTTTTGTTACGTTAAAAACGGCCTCATTTTTATTGTGAGCATGGAGCAGAAAGCTGGAAGTGTAGATGTAAATCCAGAGTGGGTTTAGATGCGTGGAGGCTGCAGAGAACTACAGACGTGTCAGAGTAAACTGGTCCTCAGGCGCCATCTGGTGGTCTGAGCTGCACACAAAGAAATCATGCAGAAGAAGTAAAAAGTAAGTACAATTGTATTTATATAGCACCTTTCTAGATAAAAAGATCACAAAGTGCAGTAGTAAAAATCATCTGCGGACATGCATATGTTATGATTCAGTGTTGCGGTTGTTTGTGACTCCTCCCACCAGAGGATTGCTCTGGGTTTTCCCTTTTCTCTCTCAGGCGCGGACCCCTGGGTGTGGCTTACTGGAGTCCAGTGCCTGCTGAGTCCTTGGGTGCTCCATGATTGGGTAATTAGTTGATCACCTTTCACCTTTGGTGCGTGAGTGGGGCCAATTTCTTGTTGCACCCCTAGAACGTCACACATATTTATCATACGTATCACCTTGTTAAGCTCAACTGTAAAATTTGAAGTTATAACTTACAGACTCTATAATAATAACTTGCATCATCTTAAACACTAGAGGATGACGAGGCGTCATATCAGTTACCTAACAAATAAACGGGGCTTGTTAGGGGTGATAACTCCCCCGTCCTGGCTCTGCCTTGCTGTAGCATGTGTGTTGCACCTCATCAATCTGTAAGCATGGGAGCAGTCCCTTAGGGGAAGGTGTAGCTGGATTTGATGCCCCAGGGGGGAATTGAACTTATGACTTCTGCTCCAAAGGTGTGTAGTCGTACCACTACAGGCTCTTATATTTTATGATTAACTCTGCATCAACTTTTGTTCTTCAGTTGCAACTACTCAATGAGAAAAGACTCTAAAGTCCTCAAAGTCGGCGAACATTTGAATTTATTTCAAAAAAACTGTAAAGAGGAAAGAGACGCGGGAGTTTGCTGAGATATTTATTTACACATTTAACTAGTGGCCATTATATGAAAAGATTTATTTTTTACAGTGTATTTACAGCACCTGTAAGGCATTATGGAACAAAAGAAAACTGTACATTAAAATATTAAAATCTGACAGTAAAACAGAAACAAGCTGAATGGATTTACATGAAAGTATAAAACAAGTTAAAAAGAAGGAATACGCTGAAGAGTCAGAGGGGACACTATCGAGTCTCATCTGAACGTTTGTTAGCAATCTGGAGTGATGTAATCAACCTGCTGAGGATTATGGGTAATGAAACTGCACAAACAACATCTCTATTGCACTTTTGTTTCATTCAGCTCTGAATATTTAACTGCTTTTCACTTGCATATTTAATTGATAACTTCCTTTATTTAAATCAAAACTAAATCCATTAATACAACTTTCCTCTGATTTGTTTTCACACATTTGTTTTGTGTTGAGTTAAAAATGACCAGAAGTTTCTATCGAGCCCAAAAACGTGAATGAGGTTGGATTCAGATCGTGTTCGGGACAACCTCGGGTGTCAGAATAATCATACGGAGATGTTACATGATGAATAAACACTTACATGGCAAAGCAAGAAGGGGGTGATTATCAGACATTTTGGAGAAAATTGCAAAAGCAGACAAAAGACATTAATAAAATGTTTAAAATCTGGTTTCATTTTTAAAAGAACCAAAAGAATCGAGGGGCTGGGCGAATCCTGATGTAGTTTGAACATTAAAGTTGTAAATTTACAAGATAAAAACAAACAAAAACAAAACAAATACTTGTCATTGAATCGCAAACGAGAGGAATTAATGTAAAAGTAGAAGAAAAGTTCATTAACAGGCTTTGAGTGCAGCTTTGTTACTGAGTGTGTTTAAAGTGTAGAAAAAACAAGTTTGTCTTCAAAAAGTGCCTTTATTTAAAAAAAAAATTAGAAAACTGGAGTTTTTAATGTGTTCTTTGTTTGTTAAAAAGAAAATAAATAAAACAAAAACATCAAAAGTATTTTGGAGCGTTTGTCAAGAACTAATCTGAGAACAATGAGAAAAATAATTGTTAGAAATACAAACAGATTTTCAGTAAATCTGCTGGAAAACTCATCAAATTCTAATGATGATGAATTCTGGACAGACCTGCTATAAATAAAGTTCCAGATTCAAATTTCAACACGCATTAACCTTGTGTTGCGTCTTCTGCAAAGTCTGACGATTTAAAATGGTCCAAAATATTTGTGAGCAGACGAATAATAACAACAATAGTAACAACTAGAAATGAATGTTTTTACCTTTTGGGTGCTTCGCTTTGCTTCACTGTGAAAAAAACTAAATGCTGGATGATCGTGTGTTTAAAGATAATAAATCATGACTCTGTTTCCAGCCGTGTTTAATGAAGCGCTTCGTTAACACTTTGGTCGAGTTTTATTTTGAAAGGCGGTGACACTTCCTGGGTTGTAAGGCTCGGTGGAAGGTAACAGACATTTTAAAGGGACGGTCTGTAGTTTTCCTGAAGGAAACACTAATTGCATTTTTAACTTTTTAAACATAATTTTTGCAGATGTTTTAATGAACACTGATCATAACTGTCTGTGGAGAATTCAGGTGTTACACAGGTGTGACGCTGACACAGTCACCAGAGAAGAAGAAGCAACAACCCTGAAGTTTGGAAACGACCTCCATCTTTACCACCTCAGAAGTACTGATTAGCTGGTGGCTGTAAAGGACATGAACCATTTCCTCATCCAGGGATCTTCGTCGTCTCTGGTGAGTTTTCAGCTTTAAATGGAAAGAGTGGCGGCCTGTGCATTCGCTGCAGGCTGAGTGGAGACTTCCTCAGTAGTGCTTGTCGGTAGTTTGATGGTCATGGCGAGATGGGGGTTGCATTTATTTTGAGCCCTAAATCATTCACTGCTGATCGGTGCAGAGGACTATAGAGCGAGCTCTTTACAAAAACAAAGCTTCATTTTCTTGCTGCACTTCCTCTAACACCCACTAGGGGCTCCAACAGCAGCCATAGACTCCCAGGTTAAAACATCGAACGTCACAGCAGAAACAAATGTTTACCGCCTGATACAAAGAATAGTTTATAGATCAGCAACTGATTAAAATTCACCTGTTGAGATTGCTTAACTTTATTATTACATCCATTAGATACCATCCATGAATTATACAAAAGTCTGGCAGCACAAAACAGAGTTCACTCTATAGTCCAGTATATTTTTGAAACACCTTTTATCTTGATTTTATTTTTTGGCACATATTTCCATCATTGCCCGTCTCACAGGAGGTGGTGACCTCTGGCTGCCTTTAATCGGCTGTGCAAACATCAGGCTGATGTAGTGAGTGGAAATCAAAGAAGTGTTTCCATGAGCTCAAGGAGCAACAAAGAGTGTAGAAACTTGTAGAGACGCTGCTGATCTGCTCATTATTGTAGCGCTGTTGTGTTTTTAGTGACGGCTGTGAGTGCGAAGCTTTGTTCAGTCAGTGTGTTGGTAACGTCTGCATCCTCAGATTAGTGTTACTCTTCTGTGTAAAAAGTAATTAATATCCAAAAACAATCATTTTCCACTATAAATACCACAAACTCCTTTTCCTGTTATTTCAGGACGACGCTGTTGTGTTATGTTTGTTTGCTCTGGCAGACGGAACGACATGGAGGAGGTGGAGCAAAGGTGGTGACGGTGGGTTGCAAAGTGGCTTGCAGTTGCCTGTAGGCAGGCTAAAGCAGCAGTAACTCGATTTTTGAGCAGACTTTTGTTTTTGAAAGAAAACGAGTAATATAAGAAAAAATAAATAAAAATTGCTTTCATTATCCCGTTGGAGTGTTGGTGCGAGCAGCTTCAAACAGTCTAAAAGTCGGCAGAGAGTTTTCAGCCCGAGCGGCTGGAAGCAAGTTTTTTTCCCCTCTGGCATCTATGTAGACCAAACGGTTGATCCACAGAAAATCAGAACGTACGATCGAATTCATCCAAAACAAGAGATGACAAAGAAACACTGCAAATTTGAGAAGATGGCGACTTGGAGGATGTTTGCTTTAAAAGGAAATAATGTTTTCAAGGATCTTCTGGGAGTGAACAGCAATACCTCTGGTCTCAGTTTTAGGCCTCCGGGTTCAAACACGCTGCTTGCATACATGCAGCAGTTTCTTCTGTTAACTTCAGTCAAATTTTTTAGCTAAGTTTTAATAAACAAGCAAGAAATAATCTAATGCAAAGCCTATAAAAGCGTCATTTTTCAAGCCCGAACTACTAAAAGCTAAAAGCCGCGGCCGTAGACCTGGAGGCCTCACTGTGGGGCTTAAATGCTGCGTGATAAAGTGCTCTGAATGGAAATCTGGATCTGGGAAACGCTGGCTTTAAAACCCCGATGGCCCCATTTGTCAGCACAAACATTTACGCTCTACCCAAAAGGGTTTTTGTGGATATTTTAAGCCAATTACGTCAAATACTAACATGAAATATTCCCACCTTTAGAATATATTTAGAAGTATTAAACACTTAAGTGGAATCATTATCTTAACGTTTAAAAAAACAAACACATACTCTTTCATTAACTGCATCCTTTGTAATCACTTTCACCATCTGCTCGTCCTTAAAGGGCCAGTTCAGCCCTGGTTTCCTTCGAGTGACTGGTGAGAGCGCTCTAACTTCACAGATAAAGGCTGCCTTCTCTTGAACACGAATCGAATGAATGAGCCAGAAAACAGCAGGCGGTTGCTTCTTCCACCAAACGAGGGAGTTCAGGATCTTGTGCACAAGTGACGGGAACACGGAGCGTGAGGTGGAGAGAGTGCGGCGTCAGAAGGTGACGCTTTGAATTCGCCGTCAGCTCTGTCCCAGGAGCTCTGAGCGTCTGGTCAGGACTATCGTCTATAAGTGTTTTTCCAAAAATCATGACCGACTTAATCACAAAAATCCACAAACCTTGTGCGTGGGACCAGTGGACGAGTTTGAACGTAACAAACTGGTTCTGCTCGGTTACAGCTTCCTGTCACACACTGCACTCTAGTGGTGGTTGCTAGGTAACATCTACAGGCTCTAATAAAACACGTTAGACTGACTTTAATGAAGGGCAGCAGCGTCAAACCACATCGTTGGCCGGCTGACTTGGGAGTGTGGGCAGGTGATGTCACCTGTAGGTTGTTTGCTGATTGGTTCTGGTAAAATGACTGCTGTCTGCTGTTCAGCAGGGCGCTAAGCTAACGGACCGACACGCGACAGATCGACGCTTCCTTCTGCACAGATCCTGAAACATGCTCACAGTGAGTTTGGGTACATGAATCCTTTTTTAAGGAAGGTGGTCTTGATTCCCAGAACGACAGAATTATATTAAAAATGCTTTTTGATTTTAGTTCTGAGAAGGCAGCAGATATCTCCCAAACTGGGCAGCTCCCACCAAAACTGGTGACAGAGAAGCAGCGAGTAAACTGCAACACTTTAGTTTTACTTCCACCCAAATCTCCCGTGTTGTGAGTTTGTTTTGCTAGCAGATTAAAGTAGTGCAGACTGCCGTCATTCTTGAAGCTAATATTACAACAAAAGCAGCAAAGTAAAAGAGTGTTTGTGAACTCGAACCACAAGGACTCACATTAATAAGTGAACCACAGAGGACATTTCTGAAGCCTTGAGAAACTCATTAGCACCTACAGTTAGATTTAGAGTCTTGGAGAATTACGCAGGGCGTGACGCTCAGTGTTAGCGCCGTCCCGACCTGGAGGAGCCAAACAATGGCCGAGTCGGACTGCTTTTAGGTTTTCTTCCCAGCCGCCTGTGACTCCCCAGCTGTGGAACACAATCTGTGAGAAATACTGACTGGCAGCTGAAGATCAGGAGTAACCGAACGCTTCTGGTCCCAGCAGAGGTTTCAGGAATCGCCGGAGCTGCCGCTTCCTTTCCCAAGACTGGTCAGCGGCTCCGCCCCCACCTCCACGGCTGCCTCGTCTTCACTTCAAGCTTCGTAGCTGAGCCCAGGACTGAGTTTAGCTTCAGGCTACGCAGCTTCAAGATACACAACTAGCCTCTGTGGTTGGCGTCAGCGGCGGCAGGGGGAGCTAGCGCGAGCTCCGACATCCCCGAAGCCAGACGTTAGTTTGAGTACAGCTGGAGTTAGCGTCGGGGTTAGCTTCTCAAAGCTGGACTCGTGTTTTTATCCGCCTCTTTATTTCCGTCCTTCATCAAGGCAGAAAACACCTGGAAGGAAACACAGCTGTTAGCTTTTTTTCTGCGAGTGAGCTGCGCCGCCCTCGCCCTGCGCTCTGACCGTGAGCCTGACCTGAGCCCAGCGGCGGTTCCTGCTGATCATGTGCGTGCTGGCCATGGCGTTGAAGAGCGTGTGCGACTGCAGGTCCTCCGGCAGGCGCGTGAGGAACTGCGCGATGTGGATGAAGTCCATCTGCAGCAGGACTTCCTCGTACAGATGCAGGATGCCCAGACCCGTCCGGAATAAGCTCTCCTCGCCATCCCGGCAAAAGACGTCCCACACCCGGCACGCCACGTCCAGAGGGAGTGACTTACTGTACAGAGTGAAGATCCTGCAGGGAGACAGACATGCTGAGTGAAATCTGCAGGCGTATGAAGATGAAACACCAACTCAAGGCGAGTTATGAAAGATCGGCATGGAAATATGCACCGCTAAAACCAAATCAACGCAAACAGCTTCTGCAGGACTCTGTGGTGACCTGCAGTGACCTTTGTTACGTGTCACCTGCTCAACCAGGTGAGCTACATCCAAAGTCTTTTTTTTTTTTTAAGACAAATGAACTTTAAGGCATTTTTAAGTCGATAAATCTTACTGACAATCTAATCTGTGTTAAACATCTAAAAGATTTGCTGTAAATTTATAAACAGAAAAATCAGCTTGGCTGCTTTTTTCTTCAGTTGTATTAACTCACCAGTCAATCAGATAGAGGTCAGGGGTCAGGCTGTTGGTCTGGAAGTGGCTGAAGAGACGAGGAAGATTCTCCTCGAAGAAAATCTCAAAGGCTGCAAAATACTTCAACATCTGTCAGAAACGAGAGAACAAAGAGGAAAAGGTTTTAAATGTTCACAGTGATTTGTGTAAAAGTAAAAATCTTTCACTTTTACTCACAAACCAACTCTGAGTTCTTCAGGAGGTTTCTGAGTTTTCCCTCCTCCCTCTTATGAAATATCACAAAGACTGCGTACCAGTTCGTGGTCGACTCTGAAGAAGGCCATCTGACAGGGTTTATTGAGCAGGTTGGCAAAGGTGATGAAGGCCTCGGCCTCCTCCAAGTTGAGGATGAGCACAGCAGCGATGAAGGACATGCCCTGCACCTGAAAGTCCACAGACGCTTTGGTTTCGGATCAGTCTTAACGAGACACTGAATGACTTTTAAATATTCGGTAACAGCTGCCATAATGCTTTTACTCACATAGCCAATGTCAGGCCTGTAACACGTGTAGGCACCCAGCACGCTGTGGAGGAGGTCGTGGTACGGACCGCCCTGCAGGAGGAAGACACAGCAGACATTCATGTGAGACACAGATGTGATTGACCTGCTGGCTGTTTGTTGCAGGCAGACTGAAGAACCTCGGGACAAAAACACCCACACAGACGTCACAAGTCCAAAAACAAATGTCTGAAAATCCGACCAAATTCTTTTCTCATCGTTGCAGAAATCAAACTGCTGCATTTGCTGCTGCAGTGCTGCAAACCTGAATGGTCCTCTGCCTGTTATCTGTGTTTACCTTCTGGAAGATGAAGAGCGAGGGGAAGGTTCTGGAGATGTCTAGTTTGATGAGATCCAGGCTGGACTCTCTGTCAGCCAGAGATGCTCCTCCATCTAACGGGAGAAACACACAGAAGTAGTTTTCAGTCGCTGAAACTGGAGCTGTGAGGGTCAAAGAGAGGAGGGGCGTCGTACCGCTCTCGCTGTCGTTCACCGAGCTGGTCTCGCTGTAACTCCTCCACTTCTCTTTGGCTCTGGAGAGGAAGATCTCATAGAGCTCTGCAGCGAGACAAACACCCATCAATCAGAAAATTAGACTCTGCAGACTCAATCGGCAACTTTTAAAGGTTAGAGTTAGAGTTTCAGTTTTTATGCAAATCCATCATTTTGAATCTCTTTGAGCCTCAGTCACAGTTTTGTGTGCAGAACTATTTTTTACCATGCAATCAAAATTCTCGTTAGATTCATTAAAAGTGTGCAACGCCCAGCTGTGTTCTTCCCACTCTGCAAATGTTTGTGAACCAGAATCTAAACTGACTGTCTCTGCACGCCTCCATCTCTCCATGTAAGAGAGCACAGATTAGGGTTCCTGTGGGACTCATGGTGGTTTAAATAAACAGCTGCAGTCACTGCCGCATTAAAAATGTACTTAATATTTAACAGAAGTGTCAAAAGGGTGTCCAGGATCGCGTGTTTGTACCTGGTGTGATGTTCAGCTCGTTGCCGATAGCGAGGCTCCAAACTCTTCCTCTGACGCTGGGGGGAAGGCCCTGCCACCACAGCTCTCTGACCCGCCTCGTTCCCTTCCTGCACACACACAATGCATTAAATAAACACAAGCACCCGCGCGCACGCACACACACACAGCGGTGGAGACGTACATGGAGTCCCAGTGAGGCAGGATCTCGGTGTTCCAGATGACCATGGCGTTGGAGATGCTGTCCTCCTGCCGGTGTCTCTCCTTCATCTGACGCTTCTTCCTCTGGGCTTCTTTCAGCTCTGAAGGAGACGCAACAGCACGAGCCAATCAAATCCAAGAACAGAAACAGCCAGTGACATCAATACATCTGTGTGAGTGTGTGTGTACCTCTCCTCTTGGCTCCTGCCACCATCTCCTCGTACTCCAGCTTGTGTCTCTGAGTTTCCTCCGTAGATTTAGCCGGCAGGTTCCTGAAGGACAGACAGACGAGCTCTCAGCCAGCTGGAAAGCTTGTTGGGGTTTTCTGGTTTTACTTCCTGTCAGGTGATCACACACAGCGGCTCTGTCTCTCTGTGACAGTGACCTCATCCTGAAGTGTTTCTGCTGCGAGGATCGCCTCGCATCCCCCTCACTCAGGGAAAAACTCATTAATCTGACATTTTACACCAGTTTGACTCTAATGTAAAACTGTTAGCTCATCTTTGTTCACCACAGAGGGACAAAGAACAATAAAGACTGATATAAAAGCTTCAGTGTTTTCACTGCATTGCACAGTCGAACCTCCGACTTCCACATACAGGCAGGAAAAATAGTCATGGAGGACCACGTGTGGTCTTCCAATGCAAATCCATATCCAAGCATGTGTTACTGATACACACACATGTATGTGATGGAAATATTCGGCCCTTTCATTTGCTTTTCACAAAAATAAAACATGTCATTCACTGACTCAGGTGTCTGTTTCTGCAGCTATGAAACATTGAAATATAACATTTTAATCTGCAAGTGCATTCAGCAACATTCTGCCAATAATAATAATAATAATAATAATAATAATAATAATAACAACAACCAGTTCCAGCTGGTTCCAGAGAATAAAGACCAGCAGCAACTTGACTTCCCAACACCGCTGAGCCCAAAGTTGGAAACATTGAGTCAGAAGCTGCAGCTGAGGTGAGAAACAAACCAGCACCAATGCAGGCTGGTTTTCAAACACTCCAGAGTGTACTGGTAAAAAGATCGGCACCAGCACGGATACCCTACACCGCTCGGCTCACAGTTGGAACCATTGAGCTTAAACGTGGGAATAACACAAAATCCCCTGTTTGCAGATGCACTCGCTTCAGAAGTACACACATCAGCAGGTTTATGCCTTTTCCAACACCACAGCGTGTAATCTAGAACCAGCTGCAGTCTTTTCCACCACAGGCACAAAAGCACATTCTTAAAACTGCATTTTTAAAGCCACCACAGAACTTACGAAGGGCGGTCCTCCAAGATGAGAGCCGTGGTGGAAAGAGGTTCAAACTCCAGGTTTTTCCTCCTCCCTGCAAGCAGGGGGCGCTGAGGACACGAGGGCACGCTGGAGTCCTTCATCGACTCCTGCTGAGGAGACTAAAGAAAGAAACAGATATCATGTAGTACAGCATCGCTCTCAGAGGAATAATTACACCTGAACATCAACTCAACAGAGTGCTTTTGGCAGTGACACAAATTCAGAGCCGTCTCACATTTTTTTCAGTTCCCACGGTCCTCACTGAGCTGTGGGTGTTTAAAGTTTTATTTTCCTGAGCTGTAAAAGCGCCACACAGAGAACATCATAAAAAGCCATTCCACCTTATACACAGATAAACATCTGCCTCCAGCTCAGTTTCATTCTTCTCTGAGACCCAAAAACTGCTTTTGCAAAGGTCTGATCATTTCAAGTGTCAGAGGGACAGCTCAGGCGAGCTTTGGAGACAAAGGTAGAGAAGCTGAGAGGGTTTGCACATGTGCAGAAGAGGGAGAGTGGATTTACTGGACAGATGATGGAGCCGCCAAGCAGGAGGAAAGGAGGAAGAGCTCAGAGAAGATGGATGTGGTGAAGCAGGACATGCAGAGGGTTGGTAGCAGAGGAGGATGCTGGGATATGGTGAGATGGAGGCACATGGTGGAGATCACTCCCCACTAATTGATCTTAGAACTGAAAAAGCTTCTTGGATGAGAGGTGGAAGAAACGTAAAGAAGGTGCTTTTCTTTCCACAATTCTCTCGAGTACAAACGGAAGTAAAAGCATCGTTTCTGAATTTAGTAAAAATGTTTGTAACAGATTATTTGCAGTTTCAGAATAAACAGAGCGTTCGTTCATCAGCTTAAGCACAGAGAATCACTCTGTGTGTGTGTGTGGCCCGTACAATAAACCGTTTATCCACAGGAGCAGGACAGCTGTGGGGTCAACAGAACAACACGTCTTTCATCAGCTGGTTTCAGGCGTGAATGCCGCCAGCAGAGGGAGACAGAGGTCGCCCTCTGAGGCTGCTCTGTCATCAGATTCAACATGAAGTGAGAGTCATAAAAAGATATGCATCAGGTGATTTCCAAAGAGCCGAGATATAAAAACACGGAGCTGAGGAAACACTGATGTGAAACATGCTGCTCACCTTTCCTTTACATTACAGCAACGTGCATATTATGGTTTGTTAGACAGACTGTAAATAAAAGATGCATGCAGCCACAGTGACATCACACCCACTGGTTTGTGCCTCCACATTTAAAAGCATCCATGTTAGCAAGCAGAAGTGACGTATTTGGATGAGAGCGTTTACGTTAGCAGCTAGCTGGACTCTACAGAACTACAAATGAGGAACTCAGACAGATAAGATCCTTCAACCTCCGCAAAGGTGATTTCCTAATTCTGCGATACTGACGATCAGGAGATCAGACAGTGGGTCTGCTGCAGGTCGAGTGTCTGTGTGAGCACAGAAAAGCTCCACGTAATCATGGTATTTATGTCTGAGGAGAGTTTTTACGAGCAGTAAAAATCCAGATGCTGCAGAGCAGAGAGGAGCTGCATCTGCACACGTGTTTACCAGCTTGATGCTAACACTGTTAGCCTGCCTGTGTTTATGTACAACACGATGCCTGTAAAATGATGTAGTGTGCTGGGCAACATCCACACGTACACAGCCTGAAGCTGCGGAGGCAGATGATGATCACACACACACACGCAGACACACACCAGCCTCCTCCTCTGGTTGAGTTTAATTACATACATTTTCACATCAGTTTGCCGGATAAAAAAACTACGTCACACTTGGCGGGATTTTCTTTGCTGCCACAGTAACATGGAGCATGACTGTGTGACCTCTGACCTTTGATTGGAGCCTTAAAGGTATTTTGCCAACAGCTGCTGGCCTCTACCCTCGCTCTGCTCACATGACGGCAGCAGCAGTCAGATGATTCATCGGGAAAAGAGTTGGCCAGATGTGGCCTGGCTCAGGCTAGCTGACATGTCAGACACAAAGCTGCTGGAGGAGGAGGAGGAGGAGGAGGAGGAGGAAGGCTGACTTCACTTAAACTGTTTCCTTTCAATAGTGCAGAAGGACAGCTCTGAAGCTGCCAAATGATGCTAACTGTTAACTGATGGTTTAATCATGGTTTGGCTCCTTAAATAAGACTCCAGTAAATCCAGCCCGGTGCAGCTCTGCAGTCTCTGTACCAGAAAGCAGGGAGACATTCACATTGCGACTGTCACAGTCTGCTGCGTGCTCCATAGCACAGATGTTGTTGGGACATCTTCCTGCTGCAGCGATATTTCAGACAATAGTGTGTTTGTCCAGCTCGGTGGAAACAGTCCTGGCTTTCAGGTTTGGCTGTTTCCTGTTTCAGTGTAAATGGTTCTTAAATAGCACTTTTCTACTCTTCTGAGCACTCAAAGCGCTTTACATAACTTGTTCATTCACCCAGTCACACCCATTCACACAAGCACATTTTTTGCTTTCTCACTAACATTCACACACACATTCATACTCCGATGGATGGATCAGAGAGCAATTTGGGGTTAGTATCTTGCCCAAGGATATTTGCCATGCAGACTAGGAATCAAACCACCAACTAGTGTCACAATGGCTTCATGCACAAAGCCAGATCCCACGGAGAAAGTGCTTTCCCACTTTGGTTTGGTAGAACGTGCATGAAAAAGCTTTGCAACCTGTGGTAAACAAGCCGGAGCAAAAACTCCATCCAGCATCGACTGGACTTCAGCGTAGCTGCATGGGAGGAAAAACCCCAGCAGCTGTTCCAGTTAAAGATCTCTGAATGTGACTGCTGAGAGCTGCTTCACAGCTTCTTCAATGTAAACAAAATCAAAAAGTTTAACTTTGCTCAAGTGCATAAATAAAGCAGAAAGTGCATGGGATGGGACTGCAGGCGCAGTGTTCATGGCTCTATTTTCCAACAGCAAGCAGGCAGCAACCCCCAGAACAGCTCCAGAGTGCAGTTCCTCTAACATCCACTAGGGGCTGGCTCCAGAAGTCCTGCAAAGAAACTGTTCTGGTCTCTATAGGTGACTTCTGCTTAATAACAACTGTACCGAGGGTGCGGTTATATCTCACCTGTTTAAACTGCATTACAGCTAAAAGTTTGCATTATTAGGGGGCGTGGCCTCTTTGACTAACAGGTGGGTATAGCTGCTAGCTGCCTGCTAGACTTTACCTCAGCTAATTCGCAGGTGAGTTGCAGCACTTTGCAGTCTGTTTACGTTTATAAATTGGATGTCAGTTATTTGCAGATGATTAGTTCTTACCTCACAGTGTGAAGCTTATTTCCCCTCTCTGTGCTGGAGGCAACATTTACATTAAGACATTCAGAATTCACTGACGAGGCTTCAAACTCTGACTTGAACATGAACACGTACAGTCTGCAGCCTGCCCTGAGAAAATGCAGTGCTCGTGTTCCCACAACGCAAACGGTTCAGAAAAACGTAAAATCTCAATAACTGATGAAGAAAAGGTGCCGACAGAAGGAAAGAGGACAACTGAGGTTGCAGGTGGACACAGCTGGGTGTGCTTTAAAATAATCAGCGTTTTTGTTAAGACCTCGAGTGGACATGGAGGACACACAGCGAGTAACGCTGAAAGCAAACAGAGCCTTTATTGTGCCTGCGGAGCTCGTTTAACGCCTCGCCCTCAGTTTCTGAGTCCTAAGGCTTCTACCTTCCACTGTTTATCTGATTTTCCAACATAGCAGCTCATGTTTCTGCTCAGATGATTCACCCAGGAGAGTTTCATGCCCTTATAAAGGACCGACTGTGGCTGGGAGCAGATTAAACACCCTGGGCGGAGGAGGAGGAGGAGGATGATGATATGATTGTGTGTGTTTAAAGAGCCAACCTGCTCCGCGGTCGGCGTGGAGGCGAGGTCTTTGCTCGTATCGCCTTCTCTGGCTGCGGTCTTGCCAAACAGTCGCCACCCTGCTGAGCTGTGAGACGTCGCTTTGGGCTCTTTGGGTTTCCTAGAAAACAGGCTCCTGAAAGAGAGCACAGGCTGAGCTTAGCAAACATGTATCAGAGTCAACAGGAAGGAAATAAACTTCATCTCTCAAAATCATATGAAGGACAAGCAAAATGTTACAAATAAAACTTCTCTTCATTATTAAGTATAAGAGTTTTTATGCATTAGCTGATGTATTTTAATAAACTTATAAAATGTTACAGATTTTCTTATTATTATCAACTTGTGTATACACTTGTTTTATTTCACTTCCCTAATTTACAGTTTTGACCTCATATTTTTGTGTATTTTCTTGTTTGTTTCTTTGCTTATTTCTGCTTCATTTTGCAAATTCAAAGGGTGACAAGAGGTCAGAGTGTTGCCTCGACGACAGAGATGGTGTCTTCTAATCAGGAGGGAAAATAAATGAATGAATAAAATTAACTTTACATTTGATGCCTTTTCACAGTTTCCTTTACAGTTTTATTTAGTAATTGTAATCATTTTAGACACTAATCTACCTTAGAAACTAATAAAATGAATCATCACTAATATTAAACACAAAAGTAGAACATCATTAATGTAAAATGTGACATTGCTTCTGTACCTATTTACCTTTTTCATTAATTGTTTATTTATTCGTTTTAGCTCCACACTAGTCTGATGACCTGTTCAGGGTGTGCACTGCTTTATGCGATAGGCTCCATAAATCAGTCAGAAGGAATCCTGGTATCGAACATAGATAAAAAGGAGACCTTTCATTTGCTCTAACTTGTCCTGAGCAGCACCTGCTCCGCATGTTGATTTGAGTCGTGAAAGCTGGCACCGTTTGAAATAATCAGAAACCAGATCAAACACGCAGACTATCGATGCTGCTTTCTGCTCCGCTGCATCTGACAGATCCCATCATAGCGACGCTCCACGTTAGCCAGACTTTGGCTTTAGATTGTGAAGTTTAGTTTTTAACTGAGCATTAATATTTTTCAGCACTGAAAACTTAATGTGCTGTAATTATGAAGTCATGAATATAAACAAACTGCACCCCCTACATATCTGAGGGCCTGTAACTGTGCAGATATTCATGAAGGTCAGATTCTGCATGGCGTCATTAAATGTACTACAGTCAGTGTATAAAACTCTGCTCATCCTCACACAGGTTACATGGTCAGTGTCCCTCTGACCTCCTTCAGTGTGCTGATAAAACGTCTTCCCCTTAAAGAGATTCCTGTAAGCGTTCCCTATCACTCAGACATTTCAACACACTGGCAGGTTCCCATTTCATTAGAAGTCCAGCCATCTGTGAAGAATGTAAACTCTGGTCAGAAAAGCTGCAGAGGCCGATTTCAGTTCCTCAAACAAACGAGGAAAGACACGCAGCAAAGACGTAACGCGGTAAATGCTGCAGCTACAGCAGTTTTTTTAAGATGATGCCAAAGGAAAAAAGACTGTTTAGGAAAAGCTGCCATATCGACAGTTTTCATTGGGAGAGTCTGCTGGTCAGCCGGCGGGAAGAGAACAAACAGACACAGATGTGCATGGGAGCCGGCCCCGAGGAGACGGCAGAGCAAATATTATCCCACCTCGCGCTCTGCAGGTCAAGTTTGTTCACAGCTTCAAAGACCCACACGCTGCATCTGCTGCAGCTCAGCTGTCTGTGCACCACTGCAAGAATAAGCGGAGCCACGATCGCCGTGTCCCTACACTTTCATTCACTTTGATTACAGAAAACTTGGCTCTTTCTCCCTCAGCTGAGATAAATGCTATTGCTGAAGCGTCTGTGGCTCATTCAAAACTTTCAGTCATTTAAAAGGTAATAGAAGGTAATTGTAGACTTAAGTGCAATTAAAACTAGATTATTTTCTTCTCGGTGTAAGCGACAGTTTTAGCAGTTCTGTGAAATAAAATCCTTGTTTTTATTATTTTAATGCCAAAATGACAGATAAACACAACTTTATAACTGATGGAAAAACTCCACTATCACACGGATGTCAGTTTTAAAACCAAACAAACTCGTAGATGCTGACAGACTTTGGTTAAAAACTGAACTGTGTGTTGTTGATCTTCTTCCTCTCTTGCGGCTGCAGTTGTAACAAGTGAGAGAAACTCCAGAAATAGAAAAAGGAGAAGTTGCTTTCTCACTAACAGCAGAGGCTCTTTATCTGAGCAACAATGTGACTCTGGTGTAATTACAGAAGAAAGATCACAAACACAAAGAAAGTGAAATGTTCATTCACAGCGTCCTGCCAGGATTCTCCAAACCGCCGAGGAGTGCGCACATTAATCATGCAGAAGAAGAAATGCAGCAGGTTAGACTGTCACTGCTCCTTCCTCAGAAGAACAGCTGACGCGTAGCTTTGTGCTGGTTACATCAAACTGTCCCTCAGATCAGAAGCCTCGTTTAAAGCTGTGGCTGCTGTGACGTTCAGCCTCTGTGGGTGTTTATGTGTGATAAGACCTAACCTCAGTGTTTCACACACAAACTTCAGTAGTGGGAGCCATTCAAGTATCAATTTGTGTTTATTTTGACAGAAATAATCCCAGACTCTTGACTTCCTGTTCCACAGGGCGCTCTCCCGAGCTTGTCCTGACTGATGTAGAAGTCAGAAGCTGTAGAAGAGAATTCAGTAAATTGTGGGGTAAACATTATTCTGAGACAAACCTAACCAAGCAGTTTTTGTAGCGTAAGCTTTGCTCTGTTCTGTTGATCTGCTGCAAGCTGCAGCCTGAAGCAGATGGCCTGGATGTGCTGGGAGTCACTGACGGGAGGCGCAGCTGTTTATCATCTGTTATCTATTCCTGCAAAAGTATACGAGGGTCTTTTTATGACTTTGTTTTTAAAAGACACCGTGCTGCCATCACAAATAGAGCGCAACTCTGTGTGAAACACTGAGGCTGCACTACACACTGCATTAATAATTAACTGCAGAGGTGAGCACATCTAACAAAGACCTTAAATAATTAAAGGCTGGTTCTGTGTTATTCCAACAGCTGATTAGAAGCAGGACGTGAGCACAAAGCTGTGCATGCTCAGAGCTGCAGTTCCACTTGTTGTTTAATCTTGGGCTCTTTCATAGTTTAAATGAATCTTTCATTTAAGCCATCTTTATTCTGATTGGCTGCCCCTCACAAACAGAAGGTTTGAGTGGGAAACCACCAACTAAAACTGACCCAGACGCACGTGTACATATGCTTAACTTTAACATCCACCTCTGGAAGAGGAGGTGGGTGACAGGAAATAAGGAACAGCACAGGTCCACTTTAAAGTAGCACTGCTGCCTGTATGTGACCCTGGCTGACCTGCCTGAGCTCTGTGGGCCACACGGCCAGAGTGGAGTTTTTCCAGCTGGGCTGTTTTCCCCTTGGCCTTCCTCCTCCGTCTGTCTGGATTTCCTCTGAGACGCTGTGACATTCAAGCCAGCTGCAGGGCTCGCATCCAACCCAAAAAACCAGCCCAGACCCAGATGCAGATTTAACAAACATAAATTTTCCTGCACCTGCCAGTCAGGGACTGTTTTTGCTTCATTAGTCAAACAGAGAAAAATCCAACGCTCAAGTTTCTGAATGCGACCAAACCTTAGGGAAACTCTCTGCTGCTGCATTTCTCTCTTTTTCACTTCCTCGTGTGGCTCAGAGGAACATTGGAGCTCTTCCAGTAACTATCAACGTAATATAACATCTTTATTCTGCTGCTGGAGTCACTGTTCAAGTCACGAGGGAGGAAATCATGCAGTCAGTTCAGGATGAAACAAAGCAATCCTCCTTTACAGCACAATAAAAACAGGAAACCGAACTTCACCTGCAGCCTTATCTGCTCAAAGCAATTATAAGTAACTGTAGAAGGCAAATATCTGCAGCATATTAAATCATGTGAACTGAGTGCAGCCTCGTGCCCCCAGAGATTCAATTCCACGGTTATCATTCTGATGTTTCAGCCTGCTCTCGTGGAAAAATGCGGAATAGTGATGGAAAATGATCCCATCTGTTCATGCATGCAAAATGTCCTGGTGCTTTTTTTCCTAAAATCACAAACAATCAAAGTAGTTTCGGCACTAGAACTTCAATAAATACTGAATTAGTGCATCTTAGTGTTAAAGTCATATGAAGCAGAGATGATGTGTTCTGTGTGGGACTGTGGTCTCTGGTGTGAGGGGCAGAGTGGACGGCTGGTTTCAATGAGTCACACCGGTCGATGAACAACAACAAAAAGCCACGATGATTGTTTTTGCCATTTACAGACGACTTCAAGCAAATATGAACTCAACGTGGAGCAGCAATGGTCATGATTTCAGATCATAACCCTAAAGCACCAACACTGAAGTGAGGTTAGCTGTTCCAACAGGAGAGACAAATGAAGCCAAAGAGAACGACGGCACTCACAAAGTTCAGCAAAACAAACTAAAACTGGGCTGTTAGATAAACCGAGCCATGTCCCGGAGCGCCCGGCGGGTTTCCACCGCTGCCGAGGATCGTTTGACTAACGAGGTTATCCTGGATGAGCACATATCCGCCAGCAGATCAATCTCCAACCTTGAGACTTCAAGTTTGCTTTCTGCTTTCTGTTTGGGTGCTCTGGGTTAATCATCAGTTACCGACAGAGCGTCTCTTCCGTACTCTCAAACAGATACTGCGCACACCTGCATCCACACTTCCTGGCTCTGACTGAGCAGCAATCAATGAGCGCGGCACCAGACCGCACCGAGCATGATTAAAATCAGCAGGGCTCAGCATTGGGACCAAATTAGCAGGGTCTGGATGTCCTAACCACCTGCGGTGTTGTGGTTACAGCGGACAAACAAGAAAACTGACTCCAGACCAAATCTAATCAGTCGAATGACAAAAAACGGACCGCATTTCAGGCAAAGATACAAACTTAGACGTTCTCAGCTCTGAACAAACAGCCCTTCAGCTATCAGCCTGCAGGAGGCCGCTGCTTTCAGGTCCTCACCCAACCTGCTCTCCTCTGATTTCTGAGAAGGCCCTGTGTGCTTCCTGTTGAACTGCAGACAATCTGATAAATGTAATCATTTCTTGTCTGAAGACCGACTCCAACAACTGAGGAATTCTGTCAAGTATTTGACCGGAAATTTGACTTTTAATGCAAAGCACAAGTGTGTACTTTCAGCTGTTACAAAACAGGAAGAGATGCACTACAATAAAAAAGACTGCACATAGCAGGAGTAGGTGATAAGGACCAGAACAGAATACAGAACATAGAGTGGGACTTTACAAACAGCTGACTGAAATAAAATGCAAAAAAAAAATGAATTCAGTGTTCATATGCTGCATATTTAAAGGTGGATGCTGCGTTTTCAGTGCTTCACTCTGACGAGGATGTAAAGCCATCACATTCCACCAGACTCCATTCACAAAAACGGGAATTTTACCTCCAAAGATGTGTGAGATTGTTGTCTAATCGCCTTTGGTTTTTAAAACAAACAAACTCTTGTTTCCTGTGAAATAAAATGATCATTTTTTTGTCAGGAGTCTGGTAGAGCTGAAAAGAACGACTCCTTTCCCAGCACGCCATTTCTGCAAATTAACTCTTTGTTGCTTTATTCAAAATTTTAACATTTAATCAACATATACCTTCAAACTTTGACTTATTACTTATCGCAGGACCAGTGCAGTCTCCCTTTAAGAGAAGACGGACAACACTTTACGTCATGCAACATAAAACCGCATTATCTGATTTTATATCTCATTTGAAATGTCGTGTTTAGTCCCGTCAGCTAACATTATCCAGTCCAACAACAGGAGGTTACTTGTATATTTGCTAAGAGGGTCTGTGTGGCGTGTATGGGAAATGACGCCATCAATCTGTCATCTCAAAACGAGACAAAGCAGGAGGAGGGCGTTTCCCCCTGTTTCATTGGGAATATGGAGAGCGCCCACTTCCCTCGGCCTGGGGCTCATGCAATCATTGAAGATCTACTCGACTCTTTCTTGGAACAACAAGAACCAAATTAAAATGACCAAAGAACGGCCATCTTGGTTTGAATAAATAAAAGACCGAAACAAAGCAATCAAATTCAGGATGCACTCAATAGCAGGCTCATAATGGACCAACAGGTGGAGATAACACAGATTCACACAGGTTATGAACTAGCGTTGCTTTTTAGCACCAACACTGTAGGAGTGAAACCTCAAAGGTCACTGAGTCACTGCCCTGTTTATGTGGCAAAGAGTGAGAGGGAGACAGCGCTGTCCCTGCGTCAGGACGGCAACAAAATCATCACAAAGTCATCAACAATCTGAAAATAATCCAGTAACCCACAGCTCAAATATCTCCAGCTTTGCTCTTATATGTTTGGAGGTTTTGTACATTAAGAGCTAAAGCTTAGTAATTCAGCCTCTCCTTCATTTATTCACCTTCTCTTTTGCTTCAGCGTGACTCGCTTCTTTGGTTAAAAAGGAAAAACGTGTTCCTGTGTTGCTGCTCTGTTGCCTTAATTCTAGCACAGAGGCTAAAAAGCTCCATCTAAAGAGCCCAGACTGTGTTTCAAAGCCTTTTAGTTCAACCACCTGTGCGTGTGGGGTTTATTCAAAGTCGATGTGACACGTCTAAAAATCAGCTTTTCAGGAACTGAGAGCATGTAATCTCATTCGTGCCTGATCAGCACACAGTCACAGCATCTGGGCAGCTGCACGGTGGTTACACGGCGTGATCAATCGCCTCTAATGGCTGAAACCTCTCCGGGAAAAGAGCAAAGGGAGCGGTGAAGCCCCGGGGAAAGAGGCAGCGCTGAGTCGATGCTCGCCGATGCCTGCTGTGTCACACATACAGAACTGAGATGTGATCAACGTGCAGGATTTTACAGTGTTACAGGCCCCAGACAGCAGCTCTGAGAGGTCGTCTGTTTAATACAATAAGTGACCTTTAATGTGGAAAGGTGGAGCGAGAAGAGTAGGCGGAGACAGCTGCTGGATGCAAGGATGCATCTTCATCACCGAGCATTTAAATCTGTACATCATGAGCTTTATTTCCTAAAATCTGCATTTGGAAGCACAAATTAATAAAAGTGTGTTTTATATTTTTCAGCCTTATGTTGTTTATTTCCATGAATCTTAAGGACAGATAAGTAAATAAAAGAAGGTATTTCCTATACGTAAAATGTATTTTAATAACGCTAACTAAAGTCCAATCAGCTTTTAAATCTTTATTTTTTTCTGTTTGAATCTTTAAATTATGAGCTTCTTTACTAAAATAATTGAGCCTGGATTGACTGAGAATTAAAACCTTGTATTTTATCCTTTTCAGTTGTCTTCGTGTTGTTTACTTATATTTTAATACAGTAGTAAGACTAAAGCCTTAAGACCATATGAGGAGGGAGGGGGTCCTTGGGAGTTAGCACGTGCACTCTTTATTGCCCCGCAGACCACGTGATCATTTTACCTGGTGAAGAAATCTGCGATGCCGAACCTCTTTGGCATCTGCTTGGGGTCCGAGCTGTCCTGGTTCAGGTCCGGGAGCGTGTCCGGAGCGCTCTGCCGACGACCCGCCTCCAAAACGCCCCTCAGGTCTTCCTCGTACCCTTCAAAATAAAAGCCCCCATCCTCCTCATCCTCTGGGGACAGCGGGGTGGCGTCACAGCTGAGGGACACGGCCACGTTGGGGTTAGTCCTCAGACTCTGCGGCCTGACGGGAGGTGAGCTGGGGTCACTGAAACCCTCCTCATCGTCCTCCACCTCCTCTTCATCCCTGGTGTTGCGCTCAGAGAGCGGGCTGCCACTGGATGAAGGGCAGGGAGAGGGGGATTTGGCACTTAATCCAGGGGACCCTACCCTCTTCTCATGCCTAGACTTCGATTTAAACTGACAGTCAGGGGTGTTTTCAGGTGAGCAGCCCGAGTCCAGGTCCTGGTCATGTGTGTGGAAACCCCCGTTGGCCACTTTCACTTCTTCACAGTCGCAAACGCAAAGCTGCTGGGTGGGAAATAACCCTGCCTCCCCCTCACAGCTGTCAGCAGCCCCGTTGGGCATGTTTACCCCCGCGGTGCAGGCGCAGTTCCGCCGGTGCTCCCTCACCGCGCATACCAGCTCATGGCCGGGCAGAGCAGTCCTGATACACCCGCCTCCTGTGGCCTCTCCCCCCGGGCTAACACAGTCTGAGTCCCGGGCTTCTTCTTTGCTGTCCCCCCGCATCTTCTCCACTGAGAACACAGCTGGACAGGAAGCAGCTGTGGTGCCCTCAAGGCCAAGCCCTCCTCCTACTTCCAACTCGACCACCGACAGCTCCTCCTCAGTGAACCCGTTCAGGCCACTGTGGTCCCCGCAGACCCCGGAAACCTGGCCGGGGAACAGCCTCTCCAGCATTATCTTCCCTTTCAAGGAGGCGTCAGTGTTTACATCCCTGCCGAGGCCGGTGAAAGCCTTCCCAGCGTCTTGCACCGCGCTGACCCCGGCTAGCAGCGCGATGCTGCGGTCTCTGAGTGCTGATTTCCCCGCTCCGCCACCTCTTTCTCCCTCTTCGTTCTCGTTCAAGTCGACTCCGAACGACCCTCCGTTCTCCCTCACAGTCTCCATGACTTCTCAGTCCCACAAGCGAGCCTCTGCCGCGGGCGTAAGTTCCTGCAACGAGTCCCCCTGCCCGGTGGGCCGAGCTCCGCAGCAGCAGGTTTTGTTGTTCTTGGAGGAAGGGGCTACCTGCATTTTCAGAGCCGGTTTAACGCTACCTGACACACACCCGGCGCAACATTTCCGTCTCAGGTGTTTAATGCAGACAAAGGAACGCTTCACGGCCGCTTTCTTGCGTCGCCACCGGGCAGAAGATTAATTAAATCCCCCAACTGTTAGCTAGTCGCAGCAGCAGTGGCATCCCGGCCACAGTCCAGCGCCATCTTGAAAATTCCCCAACAATGACGTCATTCACCACAACTGTGTTTTGATTCGCTGAAGAGGTTTACAGTGACACCCTGTGGTCAATCTGTGTAACTGCACCTCAAACCTTTGTTGACCCCATTAAAAAAGGCACACAAACACTCAAACAAACTCAGAGTTATTACAGTTAACGAATACTAATCTGAAGACTAGACTGGAAAAAAATTAGTTCAATTTTTGTTTATATAGCATTAAATCACAACAACAACTGTCTCAAGACACAGTATGTTGTAAGGTAAGACGTTATATTAATACAAAGATGGAGAAAACCTGTAATCAGATGATCACCATTTGAGCAAGCGCCTGGCAGAACTATGCTCTGTGTGCTTTTAACAATCTAGAAAAAAACTGAAATTATACTATTCGAGAAATCACCTGAGCTTTTGTCATTGTGGTCAAATTTATCAAGCCAGAAATCACAAGGAGGATCCAGTCCTGACAAATACACTCGGCATTACTCACACAAACTAAATGTTTTGGAACAATAAAAACTAAACTGATATGAGCAACTAACTGAAACAAAAATAATAATTCAAAATGAAGTAAAACTAATGAAAAAATCAAAACTACAATGATGCTGTCCTGATCTTTCATAGTTCATCAGTCAAATCTGATTGTTTATCCTTAATAATGTCTGCTGGCATATTGACCAGGTCACGCTTGCAGAGAGATCAAACTTTATTCTTAAGTTTTATTCAGGGTAGCGCAGGTCAAAGAGATTCACAGATAAGATGGCAGAAAAAAGTAATAAAAAATATAAAAAGCCTGAAAAAGATCAGCGTTTGAAGACTGATATTTGATATCTGACACATGATTAACACTGAAAATAAAGCAAAAACTTGCATTTCCTTTTCAAACACTGTTTTTGCTGCCCCAAGCCATCGCAGGTCCCCAGAGATATCATAAGGCTGGATTTAGAAGAGAGGCCTGTTTATTCTCTGTGGAAAACATTATTGATGGATTCGCTCTCTTTCTCACTACCTGGGACTCTACACCGTGTTGTTGATCTCCACTGAATACACAAATGTGACAGCTGTAGTCATGTTCCTGATCTTCAGCAGTGGATCAGTGTTCAGGTGTGAACAGCTGCTAAATCTGCTAAAATATACAAGGTCAATGGCGTCTTCCATCCACTCAGCCAGGAAAAATGCTGCACAGGAAACCAGAGAATGTGCTATCTTTACCTTCAATCAGGAAACACTGGCTGCAAAGACAGACTGGCCCAACCGCTCTGCATAACCTCCTGCTCTTTCACTCTGACAGTAACCTGTTAACCTCCCACAGCTCATCAGTGAAACACTCACAGAACCATGAATGAGGGCTGTTGGTCAAAACCATGTTTGGGGATTCTGGGGGAATCCGTTTTCTTTTAGTGCTTTGGAGTGCTGTGCAAAAGTCTTGAGCCAAAGATAACACACTTTGAGATAAAATAACACTTTTGCACCAACACACATTTACAAAGGTGTGCACCACGTTGTTAAAAAAATCTGAGGAAACTGGACAAAAGAAGAAGTGTGAGGTCTAAAAACTTTCTACAGCAGATGAGCAGTGAAGGTCACGTCTTTAAGAAAGAGGAAAGCATCCAGCAAAGACCTGACACAGGACCTGAGAGACTTAGAGCAAAATTTGGGTAGCTGGACCACAAAGGTGCAAAAGTAAAGAAGAGAAAACGTATATGTGAGTGAACTTTACACATGGTGTATGTGTAAGAAACACTGAAACAGAAACATTGTGGGGCTGCATACAAGGGCAGTTATATAATATAATAAATAAATAAGTCCAGTGAGGGGAGTGGACAGCTTCTCTGCACTTCTGATGAACCTCTGTAGTCTCTTCTTGTCAGCTGTTGTGCAACTAGCATACCGCACAGGGATGGCGTGCACCAGCACGCTCTCGATAGTGGCACGGCAGAAGGACAGGAGGTCAGTCTGCAGCCTGTTCCATCTCAGGACCTTCAGGAAATGGAGGCGCTGCTGGGCTTTCTTCACCAGGGCTCATGTGTTTGTGGACCAAGATCGGTCCTCAGATATGTGGGTGCCGAGGAACTTAGAGGAGGACACCCTCTCCACACAGTCACCTTTCATGGAGAGGGGAGGGGGATCAGTTCTTGTTCTGCAGAAGTCCATGACCACTTCCTTGGTTTTCTTGGTGTTTAGGGTGAGGTTATTGTAGTTACACCAATCTGACAGCCGCTGGATCTCATCTCTGTAGGCGGTGTCATCATCGTTGGTGATGAGAGGATCCAGTGAAGGACGGCTGTCAACTGGACCGAAGATCAGAGGAACAGGTCTGACGGAGAGATGAATCCACATCTGACGTGTTTGGCTCAGATTAAGTATGGCTGTTGGAGATATGAATTATTAACAGAGAAAGTTCCATCATATTTTGATCCGCCATACAATACCAGCAGCTTCCTGTTCCAGCAAACACACTTCAGTGCAGTGAAAGCACACCTGGATATAATAACACACCGCAGGACACCATCAGTCATGGAAGGGCCTCCACAGAGCCGACCTCAGCGTGACTGAAGCAGTGTGGGATCATCCTGACAGGGACCAGAACAAAGAAGAAGCCTGGAGACGTCACCCTGAGGATGCTGACAGAGCTGCTCACAACAAAGATTCAGTTTCAAGCTTGTTAGAGTTGTACAAACTCGTTCACCTTGTGTGCTGCACTTCTGCGTTTGTACATTTCACTGAATCATTGCAGCATTTTCAAATTTTGACTCAATCATAGTATTTTTTCTGCTTCTGTTTTCTCGGTTTTGTTTTTCAGTTTTAATTCAAATAAATTCTGACAAACACGACAGACTCGTACTTGGAGGATGCAGAGCTGTAACTAAGCTGCAGTCTGCAGTGAGAGCAGCACCAGCTTCGCTTCCTTTCTGTTCTTCTGCGTCTGTATGCGTCTTTATATTTTGCAAACATTTCTGGTTTTTATTTGTTTGAAATTGTTTCTAAATTGTTTTTCATTGTTTTAAATACTGTGTTTTGCCAGTGAAGCTGTTTGAACCTGTATGTGTGATCTGGGACACACAAATAAAACTCTAGAGTGGAGCTGTTCTCTCTCTGTGGACACTGCTGCTGCAGGAGAGGACGCTTTGTGTATAACAGCTGACTCCTCGATGACGCCACACCAAGCTGTTCCAACAGAAACCCAGGCTTGTAAAACAACCACAGCAAACAGACTTTATCTGATAACTATTTTGCTTTAAAAAGTAAAATATTCACTTTTATCTACAGCAGGAAATTAAGGCGGTGGTTCAGCTTCAGCTGTGTGTGTTTCTGCATTTACGAAGAGTCTTTCGTTTGTCCACAAACACACAGCCGCCCAACACGGAGTCAGGATCACCAAGGATCTCATCACAGCCCCTGAAAGTGTGACACCGAGTCCACAGTCGGGTTTTTCTCCTGGTAGAGTGGATTATCGATGGGCTCGCTGTCGCTCTCACTCACCAGGTTCTTCATCCTGCAGGAGAAAGTTTTCACACGCTGTTTCCTCATTATTGAGGATCTCCATCTTCTTTCCTGACTGCTCTCACTCTCCATCATCCTTCTTCCAGAAGTACTCGACAGGCCCATTTTGATCAGCGTCTCCATCACAGCTCAGTCCTCTGAGTTCATGCGACACGCTGGCGGCTGCACGCTCACCTCAGGCTGGGGCACATCTTTGATCTCCACAGTCTGATAAACCAACACTGGACCTGGTTGCTGATCTCCACTGAATACACTCCAGTGTCCGCTGCAGTCATGTTGTGGATTTCCAACACCCCGGTGGTCGTGTTCAGGTCTGAGCGGCCTTTAAATCTGCTTTAATATCTCAGAGGAATCGAGCCTTTCACCCACTCAGCCAGCAGGTTTTTACCGTAGGCCCAGGCAGGACTGAGGACCAGTGTGCCACCAATCTTGAAGTATGAGAGAAAAATCTGGGCTCCAGAAGAGTTCAGTGCAGCAAACAGCATGTCCACCAATCAGCACTGAAGTGACAGATGTATGCAAGGGCTTGAACCACTCTCTGCACTGCTGTGTTTCCTTTAAGTGACTGTGAATCAAACTTTATTCGTACAACAGGTTTCATGTGGTTTAAACTGTTTCACAGATAAATGACGAGCTGATATAATATAATACATTTAAGTAAACCATCTGTTAAGAGGCATCAGATGCTTGTGCTGCAGCCTGCTGATTCTTAACTGAAAAACAGCAAGATGCTAAGAAGTGAGCGATAGCTCGAGATGTTTGCACAGTCCTGAACTTTTAGTTATTTTAATGTTTATAGCCTCAGTTTGGTGGACACAGCGTGTCTGAACAGATTATTGTGCACATAACTGACAACATGAATGTGATCTCTCTTTCCTGAAACAGCAGAGCGAGTTAAACGGTCGCTGTTAAACAGCCC